GGAAGATGGCTCAGAGGTCTAAGCACCTGTACGGCAGGCACAAGGACCCAGTTCAATCCCTGGTACCACATGCTGTGCTGGCCCCCAAACCAGGGATGGTGGCGCATGCTTGTAATCCCAGCCCTGGGGAGGCTGAGACGGAAGGATCACTAGGAGTCTCAGCTGTGTAGTGAGATCCTGTTACAAATAAATAAATAAATATTTTTTAATATACAGAATTTCACTAAACAAAATAATAGGAATTCAACAATTGTTTTATTTCATAGTGTTGTCGTCAAATTATTTGTTTGGATTACCATATATAAAAATGTAAAATTGGTCAAAAATAGTTATAACAAATTGAAAAGGAGAAGAGGAAAAATTAAGCATTAACTGCTCCTTTCAATAGACCAACAGAAATCAGCAGTACAATTAGTCAACCTATCCTGTCTATACATAACTCTTTCCCTTCCTCCACTCTCTCTTTCTTTCTTTCCTTTGTCCTATTTCTCATCCAAGTTCATCCTTCTCTTTGGACAGATTCTTTCCCTACTATAGCATGTGTCATGGTTTGTGTCTAGTTATCCCCCCAAAGCCTTAGGCAGTCATGGGGTGGGGACTTCTAGAGTTTGAGATTAAGTCATGATCCACTGGGATTATGGGTCTTAGTATGGCTGGGATTATGGCTATGAGCACTTCCCCCAGATTGGAACAGATAGCCTGAATATAATATAAGAGAGACAGAGAGACAGACTTCCTCTCTGTAGCCACTGTTGCCGCTACTCCTCCATTTTGCTCTCTGCTCTTTGCCACCACCATGAAAGGCTGCCCTCTGCCCTGTGCCACTGTGCCTTGGGACAGCTGGGTATGAACTGAGACTTGCAGTAACTGTGAGCTAAATAAACCTTTCCTTCCTTCATTTTGAGTGTCAGGTATTTGTGCTAGCAATGAGAGAAGGATAACTGAGACAGTATGGACTGTACCTCTCAGATTTTATTTACTTCCAGGTTCTTCCCTTAGCATGACGATATGATGTTTACATACGCCCGTCTGATTTATTTCACTTGTGAGTGTAGTCTCTAATTGCATCCATTTATCACAAAAGCCCCATGTTTAACTTTTCTACCGTTGATTCATAATCCATTGTATAAACATAACACACCTTTCTATCTATTTCTCAGTTGATGGGCATTTGGGTTGTTTCCAAGGTTTAGCTATGACAGATTGTACTACTATAAACACAGGTGCACATATATTGCTGTGGTATGATGATGATTTTAGTTTTTCTGGAAAAAATGCTGAGGAGGAAGATAGCTGGGTTGAATGGAACCTCTAATGTCATCTCGTTTATGAGGACTCTCCACACTGCTTTCCACAGGAGCTGTACCAGCCCGCACTCGCACCAACAGTGCAGAGGGGCTCCTTTTTCCCCACAGCCCCTCCAGCATTTGTCGCTGGTTGACTTTTTGATGATAGCCGTTCTTTCTGGGGTGAGATGGAATCTGTGTTGTTTTCATGTGCATTGCTCTATGACCAACGATGTTGAACATTTTTTTCATAGATTTATTTGCCATTCGTATTTCTTCGCCTGAGAAGCGTACGTTCATCCCAGATGCCCATTTTTGGATTGGGCCTTATGTTGCTAGGATCAGTGATATCGCATACATACAGTATTATCAGCATAAATCTATTTGATATACTTTTATGTTTCCTTTCCCACAGTTGTTAAAAACACTATTTGTCTTCATAACTTTCCCATTGCTGGGACAAAATACCCTTCGCTGGCAACTTGGGGGAGCAAAGGTTTATTTTGGCTCCTGGTTTCAGGGTTCCTGACTCCAGGGCAGAAACAGACATTGGCCCAGAGTTGGCAAGAGACTCCCAGGAAGGGAAGAGCCAGGGCAAGACTCACTTGTCTGGGTCTCACCATCTGGACCCACCTCCCCTGGGAGCAACAGCACCTGGGCTGTGGGCTCACCCCAGGGGTAACTGCTGGGGTGCATGCAACCCTCAGAGCCCAGTGTCTTTGACACATAGGAGAGTGGGGGGTGAGGCTCAGACCCAAACCATAGTACTATTTTTAACATTTTTCACTTGCTAAATGATTTCACAAATTAACACAAGCCTCCTTGGTTTAACAGCTAAATTAGACAACTACCACTTAGTGTACTTAATAGCGTGGTTCAGAGCTTCCCAAGCAGGCCCATGTGCAGGTAGCCCAGAGCTGCAAGTCCATGAATCACTGTCCTTACTTCCTGGGTCACGTGGACATGTGCCAGGTCTCCACAGGGCCACAGCGCCCTCCCAGCTGAGCTCATGTCACCCAGTGGTCAGCACTGCCACACTGTGCAGCTTCTAGGCAAACTGCAAAAATGAAATGGCAGTGCCAAATATTATGTCCATATTTTGTGACTATCATCAATTTGGTCTCAAGAACTTTCTCCTAATTTTGCACAGATAAGAAAGGCTTTATTTTTCATTAATTCCAAAACATAATTTTTACTATGTAAATTATTTTGAGGCACATTTAAACTTCCAAATTAACTGTCAAAACTCTATGTTCTTCTTTCTAATGACTTCCCCTTTTGTAATTATATTCTATTGTCTACCTTTCACTAATACTGCATGTCCCTTTTGGTGCTTTGGAGTCTACTAATAATCGAATGTCCACAGACCTAGAAGTTTAGAATTTAGGAAACCACAGCATGAGTGGCAGCTTATTTGATCTGGGTAGTTTCTTTGTCCTCCAGGAAAGCCCTTTCTCCAGTACCCACACCAGATAGCTTCTCCCCACCCAGCGTTTACCTCTTCATTGATGGCACTGTAGCTGGGACCACAAGGGGAATTCACGTGACGCACTGAGCTGCTGCCCCGCCAGTGCTTATCTTGCAGTATGAGCCTCTGTAGTGCCAAATGCCTGCACAGGCTTCTTATGGCCTCCCTGCAAAGGACGGATGCCTAGAGAAGTAGAGCAGTACCTTCACACATCCTACCAAGTAGGATATTGGAAAAACTCCTCAGAAATGTACATAATTTTTCTTCTCTTTGTCTATGTGTTTTCCTTATTATTTTGAATGTATACTGGGGAATAAAAGAACACTAGTTGAGGCTTCACACTTTTACAGGAAAATGATATTTTTGTAAAAATGAGAGCCAGGAACTCTAGGATAGAGTAGCTGTTTTCAATTATCTCTCAGCCAGGTGTTATGGTGCAGTCTCTAGGCCCAGCACGCTGGAGGCTGAGGCAGGAGGAGCGCCATGACTTTAGTTCAGCCTGGCGTCAAACTCCCTGTGCAGCCCGTGCTGGCGCTACGCTCACCGTGTCTCCCTCCTAGGTGAAGCTGACGGAGCGCATCATCGCCACCCCTCAGGGGCTCCTCATCCGCTCCGTGCAAGACGCCGACCAAGGGCTCTATCACTGCGTGGCCATGGAGAACAGCTTCAAGCAGACCGTAGCCAAGATCAACTTCAAAGTGCTCGACTCAGACATGGTGGCTGTGGTGACAGACAAATGGTCCCCATGGACTTGGGCCAGCTCCGTGAGGGCGCTGCCCTTGCACCCCAAGGACATGATGGGGGCCTTCAGCCACTCTGAGGCGCAGATGATCAATCAGTACTGCAAGGACGCCCGGCAGCAGCAGCAGCAGCTGGGCGAGGAGGCGCAGAAGCTGCGCGGGGACTACGGCAAGCTGAAGGCTCTTATCAACGGCAGGAAGAGCAGGAACAGGAGAAATCATTTTCCAGAGTCGTAATATTTCCGTCCACCAGGCTTCTGCTTCCAGCAACAAATGCTCTCTCTCCAGTGATCAAGTTTTGAGCAAAAGATCTTGTGCTTTCCCATGAGAAGTTCCTGACAAAAGATGATTTTCCCGTGAACTGAACCGCGCATGCATTTTCTTGTACCATATTGACCAGCACTAGACATGTCATGTCCTCACGGTGCGTATAAATATTTAACTTAACCCAGATTTTATTTATGTCTTAGTCATCTGTTCTTCAAAACCAGTATGGCGGCTACAGAAGTAGAACTATTACATCCCTCTGCTGAACCAGGGCCATGACCCTGGGAGCTTTCTTCCCTGCTTGAAGGGGTGAGATTTCTAAGGGTCAGTGATTTTAGAAACGAAACAAATTCCAATTCACAACTTTCACATAGTAAAAATCATGTAAACACACATAACAAAAGAAAAGAGGTGTAGAATAGTTGCTAAGTGACAAAAAAGTATCTAAATATTGCATAAAGCAGGAATGATGGATAAAGAGAACATGATAAATTGATATGCTTCCAGTGAAAGTTATTGTCCGCTAAGGTTGTTAAAGCTGTCAGTTATGGTACCTGTCACTGACCTTCTCTACTTTCCGGAAGAGAAAATGAGTGATCTCTACCGTAAGGAGATTTGGAGGCGGCCACACCAGGGACGGTTTATATGGTTCCAGTAGCATCTTCCAAACAAAAGCACTTTCCTTTTTTTGGAAGTCATTTAAGTTATTATAAACTTAAATATAAAGTTAAAATATTTCATTGACTACTGTTCTGATTCTATTTTTTCTTGTCTGTGTGGCAAATTAAAAAAAAACAAACCACAAGAAGAAAACATTTCTGTGGCATCAGGCTTTAACACGAGGCGTGAAACCATCAACATCCAAGAAGAGTTAATGCTACTGGGAGGAATTTATAGCCAATACGCACAGCTTCTATACCTCTCACAACCAAGCTTGGTAATTAAATCCCCCGGGAAATAAATAATCTCACACTGCATAGTGACTGTTTAGACAACATTTTATTGTTTTATAATTATTTATGAAGAAAGTAAAATATATGCATATGTGTGAACAAAGACAGACATTCTCTGTGAAGATCTCAGATGTCTGTATTTGTTCTTATTATATTGTTTTTTCCTTCCAGATATTCTTTTGAAAGGATGTCGGTACCTGTGTTCAAATATCTATGAATGTAAATGTGGCGAGTTTTATGATAAATAAGTGTTTTCTAATTGCATTTTGGGGTAGTTTTATTGAAATAATTTAATAGTAAAATTATTTTATCCAAATTAAAACTTAAATGAGAGAAATGTGAGAAATTTCCTCATGGTTTAATATTTCTTTTAAAAGCACAATTGTGGCTTTTCCATTTAATTTTAAGACTTTTTTGTTTCCAGGTCAAAACAAAAATTGCACCATTTCCCTATTCAAAATCTAGTACAAAAATTTTATTTCTAGTTAGCAATTCATGAAGACATAACAAAGGCAGAGAGTCAATCTTTTTTAATCTTGAGTGTAAAAGTCCAAGAACTAAAATTACAGCTAGAAATGCAGGTCGGTGGCAGAGTCTGTACTTGTCACCAAGAGGCCCTGCGTTTGATGCCACCTTCAAGTCACATAAACATGGAAAACTAAGATATGGGTCAAAAAGAAAGTGGTCGCTGGTCAGAATCTAAGATGATAATTTATTATCCAGGTGGTGATAACCTTCAGTATTCTAAGAGGAATTCCAGTATTGCGAAAGGAAGGTCCACATATGCAACAAATGATACTCACTTGTGAAAAGCTGTCGTTCCAAATGCATATGTTGTAATAATCTCTACAGCGGTTTATGATGCTAATGGCTTTCCGGCGGCTTAGGAGGTTACGCGTACTTGCGCCTGGGTGTGAACAGCACCGTAGGCCAGTGTGTAGCCTCCCGCACCCTCTGTGCACTCGGCTGCTCACTGTGCACAGCTGAAAGCACAATTGTGCTAGAGCCACAGTTCCCCTATTTCACGGAGGCCCAACCTCAGTGGCCAGGTGACAACTGGGGTTTTGTTTTATATTATTTGTGCTATTTAATGCCTTCTCTTCTGAACAGTTTTGACTTGTATATACATTTCTTCCTTTTCTTTTAAAATGACACAAATTCTTCCCAAACTCAACTCTGCCAAATGTACAGACATTTTTTTTTTTCTTTCCAAATCATCTCTGTCAATGTGTATGGAGTATTGGTGGTTGATTGGTTTTGTTTTATGTAGTTCAGCAATGTAATGGTTTACCAAGATTTCCACTTGTATTGTATATAAAATTTCCTACAGATGCACTTTTTCCCCTCAGAGTGTAGGTTTGTAGATAGAATTTGGCATGATGAAGCTGTCATTTCAGTGAATGTTTACTCTGTGTCAGAAAACCTGAATGTTGTTTTCACACTGACATTTAATTAGATGTTGAAGAAACCATTTGTCTGGCAAAATAAAACATTTTGAATTCTTCCAAGAATGTCTTTAGCTTTTCTTTTAAGTGACAAGTTAAATTAATGATGACAGACTCTATTGAAATACAATTTTAAAGCTTTTTAATATATCTTTTTGGTGTAATTAATGTATGTAGATAATCCAAATTCTAAGATTTCCAGGATACACAAATAAAGCTCTTTTTGTACCAGTAGGCTTCTTTCAAATCCAAACCTTAGAGACATCCTGTGTGTCACTTTTCTGAGTGTGATCCCAAGATATTTTATAAATGTGCAAGGGATACACTTCCCTGCAGTCCTGTACATCCGCCCATGGCTACAGACAGTTCCGTGGCACGTGCTGTGCCTACATTTGCTAAAATTATAGTTTCAGAGTGCACTGACTTTGGAACCAGACTCGCTGTATTTGAACCCAGGCTTACTGTCATCTCTCGACCATGGTTTAAATTCCTCTCTTAGTGTCTTATAGAAGCTCATGCCTGCCAAGTGTTAGGACAGAACATGCGCCACAGCAAGCATGTAATAACTGTCCAGTATTTCCTCTTCGGGAAGGTGACATCCTGCTGGAAGGGCCAGGAAGCTTTCTATTGTGCTCTAGCTCAAGTTCAAGGGCAGCGACTCCAGCAAGAGGCCTTTATAAGATAAGGGGACGAGACACAGGCGACCTGGTAACTCTGCTAACACATCTGAGGATAGACTAGCACAGCGCTCGCCTGTCTGTGTGTGTGTTTTCATTCTGCAATCCAGTGAGTGGAAACAGAGGAAGCGCCAGAACCAAAGGTCGCCTCACCAGATCTTTCCACCTGACATCCCGCTCCTCCCAGGTGCCCCATTGCTTCTCAGATCTCCCTTACATATATGGAATTTAGCATTAATTTTAGAGGAACTTGATGAACTTTTATAATCTCGGTGTATTTCTGAAGTGTTGTTTCCTTTATCTTTTTAAAGAAAATGATGTCACCTTTCTCCCTCTATTCTCTGCCGAAGGCTGCAGTCCAGTAACTACTTTGTTCTGCAGTCCAGTAAATCCAGCTAGAAACCAAACTCCAGGCAGACTGAGTAAGAAATCTGTTTATTTAACCTTGTATTAAGGGTTTTATTGGAATGTCAAGCATGATAACAAAGCTGTCGATGATCACTAGAAATCATTACTGGAGATCCATGGCTATAGATCATATAGAAGCTATATAATATCTAAAGAGTTCACCCTATCATCTTTTAACTAATTTTTGTGCATTCAAACCCTGCTGCAAAATCAAAACAAATCACATAATTATGATGGACAAACCACTGGCGAACTTCCTGGTCATTGAGTTGCTTGCTGCTTGGACCTCTGACCCAGATGGCCGTGTGTATGATTCACAGCAATGCCACTGTCACAGTGTGTAGGGATCTAAGGTTAAAAGAATGAGCTCAGGGATTTCAAAAATAATCCCTTGTCTATTGCAGTGACTCCAGTGTATTTGTCTGTTCATCTAATAAAACCCTGCTCTGCGCATAGTTTGACTTGGGTATTTCTCAGGGCTATTATGTTGCCGTGCATGAGTGTTTCTTACATAATGTGCTCTTAAGGAATGGCATTATAACAAACACATTAAATCTGTTTATTCAACGTAAGGTTACCGCACAGCCCCTAGGAAGGAACACGGTCCGTTTCTAGTTGTTAAGTGGTTTTTCCCTTTGAGTTATTCATACAAAAGATGTCATCCAAAGATTTTATGAGGACAAAAATACACATACTTCTGCAAGGTCAAAATGTATATGTGATGGAATTATTATGAAAATATAAGTCCTCCCTGTTGTTTCTCTGGATAGTTTTCAAAATAGATATGATCCTTTGCTCAATAGATTAAAAGATCTTGCTTCTTTTAATAATCACATTGCTCCAATTTTATTAAGGAAAGACAAGTTAGTTTCTCATTCAAGTTTTGAGAAATAATAAAATTTTTATTGTATCATTTATTTATTAGAATTGCCTTTGCTTCTCCGCTGTACCCCAGATATACAAGCAGACCTTAGGTCTGCATTGTCCCTGGTCTGGGGCTAATGGGAAATGGAAGGTGCTGGAAGCAACTTGTAGTTTGGTACTCAAGTTTGTCTCATGCCAATAGGAAACAGTGAAAGACAGAGACAGTCCCCACGCCACAGTGCAGCACCAGCAACTCTGTATGTGTTTCTATGTATGTGTCCCTGGCTTGGGCGCCCATCCATTTGCAAACCAACACTACTCTATTTGTTTTTCAAAAACCAGTATCAATTTTCAACTCAAATTTCTATTTCAGCCCTTCCACTTAAAATGATATCAGCCTAACATCTTCCCCCTGTTCTTCTTTCTCCTGTTTCTCCTGTTCCTTCCCTTGGGTCCTGGCTAGCAGGAAACCTGGTCATCAACACGATGCCATGCGCCTGGGGCTTCGTTTCGCTGCCTTAACTTTTCCCCAGTTTGCGAGCGCATGCCTGGCTCTGTCCTCCAGTTGAATTCTTTTCCCACCCACCTGATGACCCTTGAGGTGCTGGGAGAAGTTGGTTCTCCTAGGGCAGCCTGTATCACCCTGTGTGTCACTGTTGCCCACCATGTGTGTGGGATTCTCCTCCAGGAGACCCTTTAATGCCTGGCTGTGGTCCCCCCAGCTGCTCCACCCCCCTTCGGGCCTGGGGCACCCATGTGCTTTCGTTCTGGTGTAAGAGCATGTGCTTCCCACGGGCTCCATAGCTGCAGCCGTCATGGTACCCAGACACCCGAGTCCCCATCATCCCCAGGATAACAGCCATTGCTGGCATATTTTTGTGTCATCCTGGGGATCAAATTCAAATGCTGCCATGAGTGAGCTATGGGCCTACATAGACCAGATGCACTTGCTAGCCACAAGTTCTGCATTTATTTAATAACAGCACGTCCGCCACTGGCACAGGCTATGTCATCCTTGCGTGGAGGAGTGCTCAAGGCCACACTCCACAGCCACATTCCAGGTGACCACTGGTGCAATCTTAACTCCTAATCCCTGTGTCACACAACTTGCACTCCATCCACATGGCCATGGAGGCATCAGGGGATGGGCAGGACAGGCCTGGCAAAACTTCAGGGTGCAGAGGATGCCTGAGGGGAGCCTTCATGGTACCCAGACACCCGAGTCCCCATCATCTCCAGGATAAGAGTCATTGCTGGCATATTTTTGTGTCATCTTGGGGATCAAATTCAAGTGCGACCACGAGTGAGTTATGTGCCTACATAGACCAGATGCACTTGCTGGTTGGTGAGATCACAAAGCAGACAGAGCCTGTTCCCAGTGCACATGGCGCTGGGCTCCTTGAGGTGGCTGAGGGTGTGGAGCAGGTTCCAAGCCCCCATCGCCCCGTAGACAGCAGCTCCAGCTGGTCACACCATGAGATGGGGCTGAGCTGAAGCTGGGAATGGAGCCAGAGCTCATCTCCTGTCTCCCTGTGGTAGAGGACAGCTGAATGTGGTCACCACTGCCCTGGGCCTAGCTGAGCCCATTTATATGGTGCAGGGAGGGGGTTGTGACATCCTGTGATCTGGGTGTCCCAGCAGCTTACAGGCCTGGGTATGTCACTGGAGTGGTCTGATAAATGGATAGGTGAAAGTGCTTTTATTACCACGGTTATTTATCAGTTTGTGACTTGTGATTGTCCTTGGAGCTCTGCGTTATTTTTTTTTAAATTAATTTGATATGTCCTGCACCTGGCAGTGAGTCATGCGTCCAGATTGTCACTGAGTCATTCGGCTTCAGCACCTGCGCTCAAAGCAGGGCCACCTGCTGCTTCCTAGGATGGAGTAGTACAGGGAGCGGTAGGCCTGAAAGGTCCTGTTCTGTCTCAGCCTGCTCCACCCAGAGACCCAGCCTCCTGCCTCGGATTCCTGAGCGGTCACCATGCCTGACTCCTATGGACGTGTCTCTGTGATGTTACACACTATATTAATTTTCTGCTTCCTTCCAGGAGGTTCCAAATCAGACACTTTCAATTTATTTTATAAATGGAAAAAATTGTGGGTCTGCTGAAATTAGCCTCATCCCAAGGTAAACAATGTCACCAGGTCCATAAACAGTGAAAGGCAGAATCTGGCTCCAAATTTCATCAGCTTTTAAACTTCATCATTTAGAAATATCCCTTTGTAAAGACAGGGCCTACAGGTAGCTTCTGTGACAGTCACTGTGCCATGGTTTTCAGAACTCTTGGGTTGGCAAGTCCGGGCCATGATCCTGGAGGCCCAGTCCTAAATTTTTTTTCATTAACTTTATTGAAAATCAATAATAGCATATCATATTAAAAATTGTGACAATTTT